TGACCTGTCTTTGTATCCTGGGGGTACTTCTGCCTAGTTACTTCAAGGTAAGCACTCTGGTGATGTGCACAAACTAGACCCCCCTGTTGTGAAATACAGATGTGAAAACATTCCATTGGGTTCAAAATATTTTCCCCTTATCACAGGAAATGGCCAACATTCCTTTTGTCAATGAAAGAAGAGGAAAAACAGTTGGATTTCTTTTGCTATAATTTCAAATTTTGTAAATATTTGAATGGTTGTAAAACTGCTCATAAAAATTTTATCACCTTCTTCTATCACTGGTCATTAATGGTGACTCTCAAAATTGGGAAGAGCTTATTTTAAAAACTCTTGAGAAATTGTTTCAAGAAGCCATTTTTAAGCATAAAACCTGATTTTAAAAATTTATGTTGATGGAAGCAAACTCAAGCTTGTCACTAAAAATTTTAAAATATTTTATTTGGATGTTTCATATAAATTTGATGTTTACCACCTATATATATAAAGAAGCAAATGAGGTCGAGACTCCATCACGGTCACGAACAGCTCAGGAGGAAGGGGCAGGCTCGGCCCTGAGCCTGAGAGAAAAACACAGAGGGGCACCGACTCTAAGCCTCTGTGGCATGGCTGGAGGCAGGCCCGCAGTGGACACATACACACACACACACACACACACACACACACACACGGCACCTGCTCTGAGCCTCCACAGCCCGGCTGGGAGCAGGCCCCCAGCGGACACACACAAACACATATGGGGCGCCTGCTCTGAGCCTCCGTGGCCAGACTGTGGACATCCCCTGAGGACTCCCATCAGTAGGACATCCCCTGAGGGCTCCCAGACTGTGAGAGGGAGCAGGCTGGGCTGAGGGACCTCCACTCCCCCAATGCACGAATTTCATGCACCAGGCCTCCAGTTACATATTATAAAGAAAATGTAATGAATTTTTTCACCCATCCCCATGTAGATGCCGCTGGATGCCCTGCATTCTAGCATTTTGTTCTAGTTTTTTATACAGAAATTAGCCCTTTCTGTGTATTTGTGATATACAAATGGTTGGGAAGCATGGGAACAACATAAGCCCCAGTTCCGTGTGGACAGTGAGCTGTATGGAAACCAAGGAGGGGTTCAGAGGGCATTGCCCACAGATTGCTAGGGTGTCAACCTCTTCTCCCATCAAACAGCCCAATACCAAGGCCAGATGCTGTTTGTTCCTCACTCCTCTTCTGGTATGGTGGCCTCTAACTCTCTAATGAAGGTGGCTATTCTTATCTACTGAGGGTGAATTAATTTCCAATAAAGCTTTGAGTCCCAAAGAGACATGACATAAATTTATTTTATTTTCCCTAAATGGACTCAGAGGGCAATTTCCTAAGTCAAATTCTTTTATGCTTGTAATAATCTTATTGGTTCCCATGGTTTGCAGGAAAAGTGTCAATTAGATATATGAAGTCTAAGATGTTTAATTAAAATTATTCTCATTGCTTGCCCTAGCCAGTTTAGTTCAGTGGATAGAGTGTTGTCCCATGACTGAAGGGTTCAGTTGGATTCTGGTCAAGGTCACATACCTTGATTGCAGGCTGGTTCCCAGCCCTACCTGGGTTGCATGTGAGAAGCAATTAATCAATGTGTCTCTTTCACATTGATGTTTCTCTCTGTGTGTCTCTCCCCCTCCCGTCCACTCTCTCTAAAAATCAATGTAAAAATGTCCTCAGGTGAGGACTAACAAAATTAAAATAAATAAAATCATTCTCATTGCTTTATAGCTGCACCTGTTAGGATACACAAAACAAATTCTCTAAATGAAGGCTTCCAAGAAGCAACTAAAATAGTTTTGCTATTGTTCCTAATTATGCTCCAATAATTAAATTTATAGATCATTAATAGCATCACTCATTTATGGATTCATCTTTACAAAGGAGTGAAAATGATAACAACTTTAGATAAGAATCATTGTGAAACATTGACACTGTCTGCTATGAATTCATTTCTATTAAATTTCAGGCTGGAAAGCAATTACAATTCATGAGAGAATGAGTGAAGAAAAAGGGGACAATGGACATGAGTGTAGATGTGGTGGCATGGGGGCAGGGCCTCATAGCCCACAAAAACCCAGCAACAACATTGATTTTTCCCAGAACACCAAGTAAGTTTGGAATTTTGCTCACTGCTTGTTTTATTTTTCCCATTTGTCTTAAATATGTTTATTCACTCAATTATGAAAATAATGTATGTTTGTCCCCCTCCCAAAAAAATCAGAATAATGCTAAATAAAAAGATGAAAGTTCCCCACCAATTAAAATTGTATTCCTTTCTCATGTTTTACCCTACAGTTCCGGTTTTTTCCTCATGTACTCTCTGTCCTGCTCCCCCAGTCCTCTTCCTTCTCCTCCTCTTCCTCTGCTGTCTGTCCAGATTCCTTTTGTGGGTTCAGCTAGCCTCTGAGGGTGTGGCACCACTGGTTCCCTCTTGTGGTTCTGGAAGGTCACTGCCCACCACTGAATGCAGCCCCTCCTAGGAGGCCTGACCCAGGTGAGCAGACTGCAGTTAGGAAGCCGAATAATCCTGAACATGGTCAGGAGTCCTCTAATAAATGTGAGGACTTTTCTGATCTCCCTTGTTTCTTAGATTTCTCAGGTCCATAGTGTGTGAGGGTTTCCAAGAAGCATCAAAAGAGCATAGCCAGAGTAACTTTGGAATTTGTAAGATTGAAGTGTGTGTAATTATTAGAGGCCCACACTGCTCTCTGGGAATGTCTTTAGAGCTGGCAGGCAGCATCTTGACTGACTCCTGACCATGTTCAGGATTATTTGGCTTCCTAACTGGAGTCTGCTCACCTGGGTCAGGCCTTCTAGGAGGGGCCCCCGTTCAGTGGTGGGCAGTGACCTTCCAGAGCCACAAGAGGAAACCAGTGGTGTGGAGAGTCTGCAGCAGTGTGCTCGCTCGCACGTGTGTGTGTGTGTGTGTGTGTGTGTGTGTGTGTGTGTATGTGTGTGTGTGTGTGTGTGTTGTGTGTAAGTCTAGTTGGGAGGAGAGACAAAGAAAGGAAGTTAGTTGACAAAGGCTATTCCTTTACAAGCCTTCGGGGTGATTTTGAAATTCGTTGGCTGAGCAGACAGATATTAAACCAGGGGTGGGCAAACTTTTTGACTCGAGGGCCACAATGGGTTCTTAAACTGGACCGGAGGGCCGGAACAAAAGCATGGATGAAGTGTTTGTGTGAACTAATATAAATTCAAAGTAAACATCATTACATAAAAGGGTACGGTCTTTTTTTTTTTTTTAGTTTTATTCATTTCAAACAGGCCGGATCCGGCCCGGGGGCCATAGTTTGCCCACGGCTGTATTAAACACTCAGAATATGCCAGCACTGCCAAAGCAACCCAGACAGTGCTGCTTCTGGGATGTTCTCTGACAGCCAGCAGGAGGGACAACTTAGGGGAAATGCCAGTCTCTGAACAAGCACTGAATGACACAGAATCCAAAGCTGTGAGATAATGCCTCTCCTCCACCACCTCCTGGCTTTGTGACTTTCACACTAGTCACTTACCTTACTAAGTCTCAATTTTCTCATCTGTAAAATGAGGAAAAAATATCCACCCTCATTTTGGGTTGTCATCCTGGGTTGTTATGAGGATCAACTGGACTAATATGTGAACGTACTCTGAAACCCCATACCATGCAGGTAGATGCTCTTAGTATTTTCCATATAATTGGGAGGATGTACAAAAACTGTACCTCAAAATGGCTTTCCTACAATGTGTGCCTAAAATTCTCACCCAAACTGTCACTCTTTAAGGGGTCTTCTTAACTGGGGCCAGGACAGTGTTAACCTGAAGCAAGGGTTTGTCAGATAAATCCTTCCATGGATCACATCTCCCGCATCAGTGGGAGGTTGCATGGGGGAACTGGCCTGGTGAGTTGCCCCACATGGTGAGGCAGCATTCCAGCTTTCCAGCTGCTACTGTGGTTCCTGCACCTGTGCCACCTAGTGGCTCCAGCACCAAGATCACCTGGCCTTTACCATGTCTCTCTTTCCCCAAGAATTTCCAACACCATCCCCATTTGGGCTGGATTTACTCTGGATTGTTTTGTTGTTGTTTGGCATTGCTGCTGCCACCAGGGTAGAGTGGCCCTTAGATTAACTCTGTGATTCCAGATCAGCATAGGCTGACATGCCTGGCCCATAGCTCCTTCTCACTCATCTCTAAATACCACTGGCTACTTTGTAAACATATGATTTTTCTCTGCTGAGGGCTGTTTGGCTGCTAGGAAGTTAATGTCCCAGACCCAGCACTCAAGCAATGATAGCTGAGGTGTGGCAGGTGGGTAACTCTGAGGAATGTCCAATGTCCTGGGGTGCTCCTGCTTGATAGCACACCATTAATTGTCTTCCTGCCCTTCCCTGTCTTTACAGTGCTTCCTGGGATCTCCTCACAGACACACCACTTGCACTGAAGTCCCTGCGTCAAGATCCAATCTGGAGAACCCAGTCTGAGACGGCTGGTGCTGGAAGTGGTCCTGGGAAGCAGACCCTGTGATGGGTTCTGGAATTGGTTCACTAACCAGCCCAATGGTAACAAGGCCCAATTGCTGGCGTTACGTGGAGTTTTAAAGGTTCTGTAAGATTCTCATCTCGCTCATCTTGTAGGTAAGTTCTATAAGATTCTCATCTGAACTGAATTGAGATGGCGTCTGCCAGAAGGAGATGTGTCAGCTTATGCAATAACTCTGGCATATTAGAAATATGGTAGCAAATGATCATAGAGTTGGTTAGTTATTAACTGCAATTGAAACACCGAAAGGAAAAAAGTACAGGGTCAGATCAGCTTAAAACTGTGTGAAACCTAAAAGGCTTCTGTGGCAGCATTTAAAACCCTGATCTCCAGCAACCGGAGGTCGATCATGAAGGAAACCAGGTCAAGGAGCTGATTGTCCAAGTGTTGGAGTAACAAAGGCAAATGGAGGTCACAGCCTCAGCCTGTCTCCTATGGGGAAGGGAGGACCCTGTTAAGAAAGGGTAGAATCCTGATATCTGAGATGGGAAATCTGGGGTAATGCACTTGAGAACCTTAAACTTTCAGATTCCCTGGCACCTCTGGGTTGGTAGAAGTAGCCCCTGCCACTTGCTAGAGGGAAGCCTCCGCCTGCTTAGAGAGTAGACAAAGGCCTCCTCCAAGCCAGATACCTGGCTAGACAGTGTTTGCTGTCCTGCAGATCTGCTGCATCTCCTTGCTGCTGTTAGTTATGCCAATAATGGTGGTCAGGTCTCAGGAAGGCTTGGGTGGTGAGTAGTGCTGTGTCCCTGCTGTGGGAGGAAAGGGATCATTCACCAAAACAGTCATAGGATCTGACCTGTGCTCCAAGGGCCTCCCATATGCTTTCTGCCTGTGTTCCTGTTCATACATCTTCTCCAAAGTTCATGTTATATGACTTCATGTTGGTGGCTTGACATTGGCTGTCATAAAAGTATGTACAACAGAAAAACCAGCAAATGCCACATATCCAGATCTCCTTCTCCCACCTCCTCCCCTTCCTCCCTCTCCTTTTCCTCCCCCCTACCTCCTCCCTTTCTTTGTGGAGAGCTGGTTTATTAGCACACCATTGGAAATGGGGGAATTAACCCATTGGACCCAGTTTTTAGACTCACCTGGGCCATTTATCACATGGTTCTATGTGCTCCATTCAAAAGAGGCCATGGTGAGGTTTTGGTTCTCCTGTTATCAGTGCCAAATCAGATCCTTGAAAGATCTAGGTATTCTCCTTCCCCACTGTAGAATTGCTGAGGTAAAGGGCTGTGGGAATCTATGGGGAGAATTAGGGGAAAGCCACTAACTATATTTGATGTGGTATATTGCAGGATCCTTCCTCAAAGGAAGCAGCCTCCCTCTCAATGAATGAATTCTGGGTCTGAGAACTGACTCACTTCTAGAAGTTGAATGAGGGATTTAATTTTCCATTGTGGCAGCTGACACCGGCCTCTGCTCACTTGCTCTTGACCCTTTTCGTCACACAGGTCAAGCAGTATCTACATTGGCTGCCCATGACCTCAGTCCTAGGCACACCACAGTCTATCAGTCATCACCAGAGGCCCTTGCAGGCCAAGGTCCCTGAGTTGTCTATCTGCCTTGCTTCCGCATTGCCTCTGATGGTCAAGTGCCTCAATATGCCTTTGGTATTCCAGAGTAGGATATCCCCTCTGACTTTAGAGCCCAGTTCCTTTTCTTTAACTTTATTTTTTCCATCACTATTTATCCCTTCTATGCCCTCTTCTATCTCCACCCCACAATCACCACACTGTTGTCCATGTCCATGAATTTTCTCTCATTTTCTTTTTTGCTCAATTCCTCCAGCCTCCAAATTTCCCTCATGCCCCCTCCCACCACTAACAGCTCTGGTGGAGTCCAATTCTAACAACATCTCCTATAGTCAGTCTTAGCCTGCAGAAGAAAGCCACTGCCTACTTCTCAGGAGGCTGCTGCCCCGCCTCTCCCAAACACACTAATGGATTCTTTGTCACTTTAGTAAAGCCAGTGTCCTGTGTGCTCTTGCCAGGATATGAATCCTGAGTCATGAGAGAGTGCCCCCATATCAACAAGCTTTACCTTATTTTCTGTGCTCTAATCCCAACTAGACATTCTCAAGATCCATTCCCACGCATGCTCTCCAGTCCCTCGTGTGTAAACAGCATGATGTCTGGACCAGCTGGCAGAATTCACCTGGACTGCACTGGAAATGCAGAATCTCAGGTGCATCCTGGACTTACTGAATCAGTGCCTGCATTTTAATGAGATCCTAGGTGACACACATGTTTAAGGATAGAAGAGCTGCTTCAGAACTATCCTGACACCCCAGCAGAAAGAGCCTCCAGTTTCTTAAGCCTGAATAAAATTTCTTCTGAGTTTCTGCAACACCATTATCACTATCCCTGTCATTGTCATTGTCACTGACTGTCATCATTATCGCCACTGAGCAGCATCTATTAGGTATCCACTTAATGAGGGGCCATTTTTATAACAGCACAGACTGAGCAGACAATGCCTGGCCCTGTCTGACCCCATTTCCACAGATATTTTTACAAAGCAACCAGGGTGTTTTCACCTTCTGACAGGGTTCTACAACTTACTTGCTTTCACTTAGTTTTAAATCAACTTCCCTGACAAGCCCTACTTTCCCCAGCTCCACACTTCACTGTCACATTTGCTGATGTGGCCAGGTACCTCCCTCCTTGGCCTCTCCACCTTTGTCTACTTACTCAAAGATTTTAGTTATTGTCAGAAGAGCCAAAGACAAAGATCATTCAATTGGCAGGAAACAGTCTTCACACTCTCAGGATTTCCTATTATGTGATGTGTAGCCTTTTCCAGAAACACAATTGCATCCAAAAATAGAAACTGCCTGGATTTACCTTCATCTCAACACAATGACTCCAGGGCCAATGGGACTGGCCTTGAATTAGGGCCAAACACTTTGAAACCCAGAGACTCAACCAAGGAGAAGAAAGCCACTTCCAGCGACTTCCAAGAGAGGGCAGGCAGCTGTTTACTTATTCCCCATTCTTTTGTTATTCTGTTTGATTTTGCCAATAAAACTTGGGTAGGAGGAAGGAAAGAGAGGAAGAGAGGCCATGGACCAAAAGGAAGGAATGGAGTGGAGGAAGCTAAGGAAGACCAGGTGGGAGTGGTAACTATGGGGTATAGGAGATGACTCAAAAGAAAAGAAAAATGGCAGGTTGAAAAGAAAAGATGTGTTGAAGGAGGAAGTGAGAACTGGAGAAGGAAGAGAGGAAGAGAGATTTTAATGTGCTTGCGGCAGACACTGCAGAGCTGGCATGATCAGGACTTCACAGTTGGCCCATGGTTTCCTGAGAGTGGAGAGTGAAGAGAGGCAGTGTTAATGTCAGTGTGAGGTGTGACATTGTTTATTTCCTTCTTTACAATACTCTGAGCAGCATAATTGCCCCTGGGAGGAGTTTACCTCTATCCTCATTCCTGTGTGTGTGTGTGTGTGTGTGTGTGTGTTTTGCAAGGGTGGGGGGCAGGGGTGATTGGGGAAAGTAAACAACATCTTCAAAATTAGAGAGGGTTTGGGTGTCTGTCCCAACAAACCTGAGACCAAAGAAAATATACTGCAATTAAATTGTATGGAGTTAAATGTAATTAAATGGTATTAGGCTACTGCTCTAAAAGAAACCCCAGCATGGAAATAACACTTGGCTTGGATAGTACTGGAAAAGGTGATCCTGGAAGATAGGTTTTTCTAATATATATAGATATAATTATTTCAGAGAAGAATGGAGAGGGAGTGAGAGATAGAAACATCAATGATGAGAGGGAATCATTGACTGGCTACCTCCTGCATGTCCCCCCACTGGGAATCGAGCCCCCAACCAGGGCATGTGTCCTGACCAGGAATCGAACCATGACCTCTTGGTTCATAGGTTGATATTCAACTTCAGAGACTTGAGTCATGCCGGCCGGGCTGGGAGAGAGTTTTTAATGATGATTCTGGGAGAACGTTCATCTCTCTAAGCATAAGGGGCCCCGTGTGTGAAACCAGGGCGGTGGCATTCCTTTTGTAAGGTGTTTGTGAGGATTACATAATTTTTTAATGAAAAATTTCACTTCTCATACAGTCTGTTCAGGGAATTTATGGGCAGAGTCAAGATTCAGGAGGTGGTAGGAAAACAGCTTTGACCTGAAATCAGATGTTGGATCAGAAACAAAAGGAGATTCCAGGGGACAAAAATAGAGAGCTCCAATTGGATGTGGTGAATGAGCAAAAGTGCTGGGACCCTGGGAATCTGAAGTTTTGGAGAAGAGGGAAATAGTTGCAGTGGAGCAGGAGCCAGATTCTTGTACACACTGCATCTTGGGGCAACCAAAGAGATGCGGGGGGTTTCTTTCTCTAAAAAGATTCCAGCTAATACATGAAAATAGCTAGAAACAGAATACAACCACTTTACAAGCTTAATGAAATAGTGTACCTAGCTATTGATCATTGTGTCAGTTATCATTTATTGCCTCTCAATCCCCAGGCCACTCTTTGATATCTGCTCTGTGTTAATGTATTGGACTTAAAACATCTCTTACAAGGAGTGCAATATTAAGCTTTGTCAGTAGAGGGCACTAGAGGGACATTGCAAGAGGAAGAGGCCTTTTGTATTGAGTTTTGTGTTTTCTTGCTCCAGCTGCATGGCTTGTCACTAGTGTGTGCTCTGCCCCACCCACATGCTTAGCATATGCAGTCCTTCAGAGACCTCAGATCACATCCTGGGCCCAGTGACCAGCTTGCCTCAGCACTTGTAATATGGATACTGCACACCAGGCCTCACATCGGCAGTGGAGACCTAACTCCTCCCATGCACTGTTTTCCAGTGTCAGCTGGCCTGAGCCCCCCTCCTTCTCCACAATGTGAATGGTCCACACTAGGCCTTCCACCAGGGAGGACCCACCAGCCTCCGCCTGCCTGAGCCCACGGTTCTTTCTTGCTTGCCTGATCACCATCGACCTGCTCTGGCCGAATGGCCCAGTGAACTTACCTGCTATCTTAGTGAAGCAACACAACTAAGTTGGAGCCCCAACCTTGGCCTGAGCTCTCTTTCCAAGCTTGATTTTCCCTCGGTATTCTTCCTTACATATAAGATACCCTTTATAGGTCTCTTTACATCTCCATAGTTACTCTCCCATCATAGATAACTAGAAGCCCAGTGCACGGATTCATGCACCAGGGGGGTCCCTTGACCAGACCTGCGGGGATCAGGTGAAACTGGCAGTCAGACATCCCTCAGGGGTTCTGGAGTGCAAGAGGGCACTCTTCAAAGTTGCTGTTTCTGGGAAGCTCCTGCATTGAGTGTCTGCCCCCTGGTGGTCATTGAGCATCATAGCTGCATGTTGGCCGGCTGGCCAGTCACTTAGGCTTTTGTATATATATATATACTTCTTGATATTAAACGCCATCTATTTGTATTACTTTGTGGTTTCTGCTTCCTGAGTAGACCCAGACCAAAACAACCATGATTAGCTGCTGACCTAAAGAGACATCCAGGATTGTGTAGCCTTGTTGGAAATATACAACATACCTCTAAAGCATTCTTGTCAAGCCTGAATCTGATCAAGCCAGAGGTCTAACTACAAGTATTTAAGAAATACTCAGGACATAGGGACATGTTAAATGATACTATCAGATTCAATCAGCAAAATCCAGGCTATGGGAAACTCCAAAGCAGAGATAACTAGAATTCTTCAACAAATGAGAGAAAGAACCTATAAATTAAAAAGGACTTAAAAGGCATATTAACCAATTAAAATTCATGGACCTTCTTTGAATCTAAATTCAAACAAATTGTTAAAAAAAAGATTTATGAGACAGTGAAAGAAATTTAAACACTGGATATTTGATGAGACTGGAGTAATTATTTTTTAAAAATGTAAGAGCTAACAGAAGAAATATGAACACTGTTTATTTGATAATATAAGAGAATTGTTTTTCTCTTTAGATGTGACTGCAATGTGTATATTTTTAAAAAACTTTGATCTTTTATATTTATTTACAAAAATATTAACAAATGAAATAGTGTGGTGCTGGGGATTTGCTTCAAAATAATCCTTGTTTTGGATAGAAGTGAATGGGAGGATATATTGGCCATGAGTTGATAAAACTGAAGCTGGGTGATGAGTAAATAAGTTCAAAAAAAGTAAAAAAAAAAAAAAGTAAAAAAAAAAAAAAAAAAAAAGTAACACTTAAAAATTGATAAGAAAAAAAAGGCAACTGAAAAATGAGAAAATATAAATAGGCAATTCATG